GTTGTTCTTGCCGATCCACTCCTCTTCGCGTGTCAAAGGTTGGTTGACGAACGTTCGTTGCGCGGAACCATCGATAGAGGTCGCGACTGTTGTCCCTTTCCTTTGCCAACGCCCGTTCGTCGATAGGCATATATAAATACATGGCGCCGCGTGCTCGTCTGTCTATTCATGGAGACGGCGATAGTCGTTGACACTTGAAAAAAATATTATAGGCGCGTGGCGGGGACGATTGATGGTGAACCCGATTGATGGTGAACAGTTCGTGTTTTAGAGTATTCGAAGTTGCGAAGAAAAACGCGTTTCGACCGACCATGGTTTCAGTGGCGAACGAAGACGAGGTGAAGCTGCTGTCCGCACAGCCGAGCCAGTACTTCGACTCTAGTCCCCTGGTGAAATTCAAACACTGGCGCCAGTACCTCGAAAATCTGGTTTGCAATGCCTCCGAGATGAAGAGGAAAAAAGGTGAGTAATCGACCGGAATTTTTCATGAATTGCCTGTCTGTTCGGACCACGGGTGTCGCGATGCAAGCACCGATTATGCGCCTTCGCAACCAATCGTTTGTCTGCACAGGTGCTCACTCCTGACTCCTTACTCCCACAGTTTACCGTTGCTTATAGGCGCCATAGTTCACTGTCTGTGGCGTGCACCACCCCGCCTGTTTCGTTCAGTAGTTGACACAACTGCTTGGTTACTTTGAGACTGGCTTGTGCTCAAAAAACGGGTACCGGCAGAAACGTTCAAAAAGTTTCTTCAATTATGCAGAACTTCTTCCGATTTAATGACTGAGGGCGCAGTTATTAATAGAATTTCCTTCCAGTGGTTTTGTTGCACAGAATGTGACTTCCAGCTACAGTTAAAAATGCCACCCTTCGTTCGTCTACAAGTCCTGGTAGCATTGTTTCTTTAGTATTAATATTGCTCTGATTTTATCGAACAGTCAGCTGTTAGGTATATCACAGCAAAGTGCAACCATAGGAAATGTTCACATCAAAAACCATGATCGTAAATCTCGCCCATTCGGGTATGAGTGCGTCACACCACGAAGCTCTCCCGAATTATTGGCAAATCAGTGACTTGGTACCATTATTTCCAACTGTTGTACCGAACTAACTTGAGGTATATCACTTGCTTCTTATCAAGATAATTAGCGGTTAAGATAAATTTTGTCCTGTCACCAGGCTATAACTGGGCACCCCAGCTGCCCATCTTCTCGTACCATATTTTTCATAAGTTTACCAATGCTATATACATGGTGCTATGCCGGATTCCATTTCCCGGTCACATAGGCATTATCCAGATCTCGCGACTCTCTTGCTCATGAATCTTCATCTTTCGTTCAGCGCTATATGAAACTGTGAAACGCATTTATCACACTTGAGTTGAAAGCTGGCGTGGGCGACTGTTCTCAGTCTTTTAGTCTGATTTTTTACTCAAAATCTCTTCTCTTAAACAGGGCTGCATTAAAAGCATCGAAGACCTCCGTAAATTTAAATTACCATTGTCTCTTTACCCAACCACTCCACGGTTCATGACAGGTTTTCATGGCTGAGGAAAATGCCCTACACGATTTTTTGTCTTGACTGCGGTCTCTTACTCCAGTCGTTGTTCGTTCTTCGTGTCTCAGTGCCAGGGACGCTGAAGTTTAATTTGTAGTTGGCCAAAATTGTTAATATTTTATTATCTCTTTGACGTCATAGAATAATTTGAAATGCTGAAAGAACGTTGTACGTCAGCCATGTTATTATAACTTGTATCAGTCTCAATTCGTCGTTAAGTACAGTCTGCTTCAAGACTCAAGATTGACCTATTGGAGCTTGCAATTCGCGTACCTCATTGGCATGAACATGTGAATTTAAGATTCTGCCTTGTGTTCCCTCTTCTATTGATTGTTTCTTATCGCTCGTTGTACTGTCATCTACCGTTGTTCTTCAACACTGTCCTTTCGCTTTGTTAGACGCCCAAAACTCCATGGCAGGGGCATAACAGATGCACTGCTCCTCTCATTCTTCTTCTTTATGTTCGTTTTTCTAACTTGTTAGATTAGCAGTTCCATACTTCGTGGAGCACCATGTAGCTTTCGGGCATGTCGCTTAAAGTCATGACCCTTTCTCTTCAAACTCGTCCTAATTTTCCCAATATGGTCGGTACCACTTTCATTTTGTTCAGTAATTCTGAAGCTGATAACCTGCCTGAAGACAATGAGCAATAAAATAAAATCGACGGTAAACCCAAAACAAATAAATTTATTAACCTGAATGAGTTTCCAAATTGCTCTTGATTCTGGAACAGGAATTGAATGAATATCCCTCTTGTCGATCCATGGTTCTAGCTAAACTGAACTATGTATTTATCTGCCATGAAGCTCTCGAGCCGTCAGCACGTGTGCCATTTTTAACTTGACAGTCGTAAGGAACAACAGACCGTAGCACTCGTCACTGGTTACTGAGATTGTCACGCTGATGAGAAAAGCTATATTTGGGTTTCAAAAGCTGCGAACTTCGAAAACAAATTTTTTATTTTCAGGTTTATAATTAATTTTACATAATTATTTCTTTTTCTCCTTATTTCGTCCATTTTTGCTTGAAGCGAGTTAACTCCAAGCAGACGTACCTCAACAGCGTATATCCTTCTGCTCTTCGC